CAGCCTAGATGGCGACCAGGAAGGACATGTTCCTCAAGGAGGTGACATTTGAGCAGGTTTTCAAATACCAAGAGGTCACCAGCAGCAGCCGTGTGGACATCTAAGCAGACGGTCTCCAGTCAGAGGGAAGAGGAGATGGACCCACCCAGGCAGGTGTGAGCAGAGGGCAGGTCAGTGTGGCCACAGCAGAGGAGTGACAGGCAGAGGGCAGCAGATTGGGGTGGGAGGGGCAGGGGCCAACTCGGGGACTGCATTTTATCCAGGTGCAGCGAGAAGCCGGTGAGGTGTGCGATCAGGAAGTTCACTGCTAGAATTTGTGACTTTACCAAGGTCAGCCCGCCTGCTGGCTGGTGAGGACTCGGCGGAAACAGGAGGGGTCGCATGTGGATCACGAGGCCGCGCTGCAGCGGTTCCCGAAATGGTGGCTTAGAGAGAAGCGCACAGGTTCTGGAGGCAGCGTACGGGATGTCAAGAATGACAAGGAGAGAAACTAAGGATGCTTCCTGGGTATGAGAGAGTTCACTACATTAAGAGGAACGAAGCTGGAAGTTTCTCCAGCTTAGAATAAAGAATGTCTCCATCTTAGGGTTAGGAGGGACCCCAGCCGTCTCCTGGCCCCGGCCCCCGCCAGTGTCAGGAAACTCCTCCAGGCACAGAGTGTCCAGAGCTGCGGCGAGCCTGCCCGCCTGGAGCGTCTCCAGTGTGGAGCAACTCCAGCGGTAACTGTTGGAAAAGCCTGTTTTTGGTTTCCTCGTGCTTTCCTAAAACCTCTACTCTCAGATCTCATTTCTCTCCTCTGCGGCCGTACCTTGTCTGCAACGTAGCATTCATTTATTCAGAGTCGACGGAATGCTTATTAACTGCACTGTGTCTGCATGCGGGGGATACAGCAGTGAACAAAATAGACAATGCCCCTGACTTCACAGGGCTCACATTCTACTTGGGGAGACAATGAAAACACTAAATATGTGATTAGCCATGTGGTGACAAGTACTTTGGGGAAAAATATTGCAGGGCGAGGGCGCAGGGAGTGCAGGAGAGGCCTGGCTGATAAGGTGGCATTCCAGCCAAGACCTGGAGTCGTTGAGGGAGCAGGCCACGGATCTGGAGAAGGAAGCCTCTGGACAGCAGAAACTGGAGGCAGCACAGGCCCCTTTTGCTTTATCTGTGCCTCCTTTGAGGAAGTAGATGTGCTCTTGGAAAGTTCTGTGTGCTAATCAAATATTTGTAAATCAAATCATATTTTAAATGCATCAAGGGGACTTCCACTTAAAGTGACCCTGGAGTAAATGAGTCTGCAAAGTAAATAAAATGTTCTGATGTGAATAATTTATCTACCTTGTAAGTATAGATTTTCACATAACCATTGCTTGATTGTGTCTTTCTAAATTTAATTATTTATTTCTGAAGTGGGGCAGTTACAGACTGGTGCTGAGAGCTGGGGCTTTGCAGTTACACAGCTGTGGTTTTGAAACCCAGACCTACCTCCTAAAGTGACCTGGGACAAATTATGTAACTCCTATGAGCCTCTCGTGTTGCTTTTGTACAATGAGGATAGTAAGACAGCCACGTGCCACGTGACAACATGTTGGTCAACGATAGACTATATACAATGGTGGTCCCATAAGCTTACAATGGAGCTGAAAAAAATTCCTGTCCCCTAGCGATGTCATAGTTGCAGTGCAGCATATTATTCATGTGTTTGTGGCGATAAGCCTACTGTGCGGCCAGTTGTCAAAAAGTCTAGTACATATAATTATATACAGTACACAATACTTGATAGTAAATGACTTTGTCACTGGTTAATGTATTTATTATACTATACTTTTTGTTACTATTTTAGAATGTATTCCTTTTCCTTATTTAAAAAATTCACTGTCAAACAGCCTCAGGCAGGTCTGTCAGGAGGGATCCAGCAGAAGGCATTGCTCTCTAGAGATGACAGCGCCACGTGTTACTGTCCCTGAAGACCCTGCAGTGGGGCAGGATGTGGAGGTGGAAGGCAGTGACACTGATGATCCTGACCCCGTGTAGCCCTAGGCTGATGTGTGTGTTTGCGTTTTACTTTTTAGCAAAACAATTAAAAAAGTAAAAAAAAAATAAAATAAAAATTTTAAAAACAGAAAAAAGCTTACAGAATGAGGATATAAAGAAAATAGTTTATATAGCTATACAATGTTTGTGTTTTTAGCCAAGTGCCTTTTTAAAAGAATCAAAAAGGTTTTAAAAATTAAAACGTTTATAAAGTTTAAAAGTTGCAGTAAGCTAACTTACCGAAGAACATGTTTTAATCAATGTAGTGTAGCCTAAGTTTACTGTATTTATAAAGCGTGCAGTAGAGCACAGCAATGTGCTGGGCCTTCAGTCACTCGCCACTCACCCAGAGCAACTTCCAATCCCGCAGGCTCCATTCATCGTGAGGGCGCTATACGGTATCATTTTTCTTACCTTTTATGCCATATTCTTAATGTACCTTTTCTATGTTTGGGTTTTTTGTTTTTGTTTTTGTTTTTGTTTTTTGAGATAGAATCTCGCTTTGTCACCCAGGCTGGAGTGCAGTGGTGCAGTCTCACCCTCTGCCTTCCAGGTTCGAGGGATTCTCCTGCCTCAGCCTTCTGAGTAGTTGGGACTACAGGTGTGTGCCATCATGCCCGGCTAATTTTTGTATTCTAAATAGAGATGGGGTTTCACCATATTGGCCAGGCTGGCCTCGAACTCCTGACCTCAGCTAATCTGTGCACCTTGGACTCCCAAAATGCTGAGATTACAGGCATGAGCCACTGCTCCCAGCCTAGATATGTTTAGATACCCAAATACCATTGTATTACAGTTGTCTCCGGGATTCAGTGTAGTAACAGTCTATGCAGGTTTGCAGCAATAGGCTACACCACACAGCCTATGTGTGGTAGGCTATCAGATCTAGGTTTGTGTAGGTACACTCTGTGATGCTCAAACTACAACAAAATTGCCTAACAATGCATTTCTCAGAACATATCCCCATCGTTAAGTGATGCAAGACTGTACTTACAAAGTTGTTGTGAGGTAACCATTGTAAACCCTAGTACAGTCCCTGGCATGGAATGAGTGTGCCACGGTGTGGTGTGGTATGATGTGGCATGGCGTAGTGTGGTGTGATATGACATGGTATAGTATCGTATGGTGTGGTAGGGTGTGGTATGGCATGGTGTGTATGGTGTGATGTGATGTAGTGTGGTATGGTATGATGTGGCATGGCGTGGTGCTGTATGGCATGGTATGGTATGTATGGTATGGTATAGAATGGTATAGTGTACTGTGCTATGATACAGTATTGTCTACCATAGGGTACTTGGGCAAGAGGGCTTTCTTTAAACTATATTTAAAAAACAGACACCAGGACCATACACTTGGGAATCTATACACAGGTACCTATATGGTCACACAAACACAATTGGAGAAAAAGATGACAGGCAGAGACCACAGAGCCATTAATTTGTTGCCGTGCTGTTTGTGTTCTGCAGAAACATGGGCTGAGGCTTCATCTTCGAAACCCCTACTCCTTCACCCCCATGCTGGAAGACGGTGCGGGCAGCAAGGTGCCCAGGTCCCTTCTGCTGGGCACAGACATGGCAGAAAACCAGAAGCAGATTGCCCAGTTCTCTCGGAAGGATGCCCAGGTAGGGAAGGCGACCAGTGACTGAGCTCCTACTCCCTCAGCAGCCTAAAGATGGGCCTGGTTGGATTGTCCTAGAACAATTGTCCAAAGGTCATGGGCACTGGGCCAGGCCACCCCACATTCCTAGGAGGGCTCCAGTTGGTGGCAGCTCTTGATCTCAGGCACTGCAAAGAGAAGTGGGTGGAGGATGCTGATTAAGACTAGTGGACTGGAAGACACGCACACCTGCGTGTATTCAATATGGGGCCACTGTCAGAGGGGCTGTGCATGCTGAGTTCAAGAGGAAATGCACCGGCGTGTTCCTACACCAGGAAGTGCTTCATGCCCCTCCAGCTTTCAGACAGAGTTCCGGGTGTTTGTCCACATTAAAGCACATGAAAGCCAGAAAGGACGATGAGGGACGATCAGAGAAAATTAAGGATAAAATCAACTGAATCAGGAACTTAGGACAAGAGAGTTCTAAATATTCATTCAATGTGGCATCCCAAGGCTCCCTCCTGACTGCCCAAAGCAACAAAGTGTCCATGATGGTGTGCAGCTCTGGTGACGGGATGAGCACATGTTGGATGGAGAATGCACTTTTTTTCCCTTGGAACTGCATTCTGGGAACCTGCTGGGTGGCCTTGTCTAGATGAGCCACTGAGTTCCATAAGGGCCCTGCCACAGTTGGTTCTGTGGACTTAGGAAGATTATTTGAATGGCCGTTTTGTACCAAGCGTGGATACAAGCTGAGGTGTAGCATTAAATCATATCTCAGTGGAGACATTTTCATAAGAAGAACCTAGATTAATAGAACCCATGTACACTGCTTTTCTTGTGTTAATCTATTACTGGGTAAAACTTAGAGAACCACAGATGCACAGCCTACATGTCTCTTCCACCAGCAGTTTTCAAACCTGGCTGATGATCAGAATCACCTGAGAAGCTTAGCCTTTTATTTCGTTATTTTATTTCATTTGTTTTTAAGACAGGGTCTCACTCTGTCACCCAGGCTGGAGTGCAGCGGTGCGATCTTGGCTCACTGCACCCTCCGCCTCCCGTGCTCAAGCAATCCTCCTGCCTCAGCCACCTGAGTAGCTGGGATTACAGGCATTCACCACCATGCCCGGCTACATTATTTTTAATTCTTTTGTAGACACAAAAGTCTCACTATGTTGCCCAGGCTGGTCTGGAACTCTTGAGCTCAAGCAATCCTCCCACCTCCGCCTCCCAAAGTGCTAGGATTACAGGCATGAACCACCACACCCGGCCTGAGGAGCTTAGCTTTTTAAAAGTGCTTCTTTGATGGTTCTTTTGTGTGGCAGATTGGAGACCACCACCTGCATCCTGTTGTCCAAATCCTGCCCATCTCAGATGCACTTGAGGGGATTTGGCACAAGGCCAGGTCCCCGGACCTGTGGGACACTAGCTGTGGCCCTACACTCTAGCGACCACACACGCCAGAGGCAAGGGCCCATTTCCCATCGTGGAAAGTAAGGAGCTTGATTCCTGGTTTTGTCTTTCCATGCTGTCATATTAAAGTCCTGCTTAGAGAAAGCTGTTTAACTTCGTTTTTACCAAGACTTCTCAAATGTATTTTAACATGGAACTTTTCTTCATGTAACACTTATTAAAATGTCATGGGTCTATCCATGGGTAGAGATAGACCAAAATGCAAAGTCCAGGGCTAAGAGGAATCAGGTAGGGCCTCCAGTAGTACAGGCTTCTATCACTGCTCCTGTGCCCACCAGGGAAGCGAAGGTGAGTGTCAGAAACCAGGCTTTCGAAAGTGGATTCTGACGTGGGAGCTTGTGGGGTGAGAAGAGGCAGTCTTCTGTGACTGCGGGTGATGAGATGGCGTGGGAGACCTACAGACTGGAAAAGAATACAGGCAAAGGTCTAACTTCTACCAGTAATATGTGAGAGGACAGAAGGACAGGCTAGGCGCAGCGGCTCACGCCTATAATCCCAGCACTTTGGGAGGCCGAGGCAGGTGGATCACTTGAGGTCAGAAGTTCGTGACCAGCCTGGCCAACATGGTGAGACTCCGTCTCTACTAAAACTACAAAAATTAGCTGGGCATGGTGGCACATGCCTATAATCCCAGCTACTCAGGAGGCTGAGGCAGGAGAATCACTTGAACCTGGGAGGCAGCGGTTGCAGTGAGCCGAGATCGCACCACTGCACTCCAGCCTGGGTGACAGAGCAAGACTCCATCTTGGAAAAAAAAAAGAAGAAATGACAGAAGGAAGAAACTTCTAAGTGGTTTCATGGTTTATCGCAGAGACCACACCCTAAGATTCTTGCCAGTTTTCTGTGGGTGACACTTTGTGTTGGCCAGCATTAGCTCCTTGTCCCTGTTGCCACTGCTGGTGGCTCTCCTATCGCCCAGGGTCTCCTGAGCACCCCCACCTCCACCCCATGTACTCTTCTTGGTGTTGATATTAACCCAGAGACCTGGAACTGGGGGAGCTCAACAGAGCCAAGCCGAGCCACAGCGGGGAATGAGGCCTGAGGAACCATCAAGCTGTGGGGGTGACAGGCCATATGGGGACAGCATGGAGGGGAGGGATATGGATGGTGGGGCCTTGATGCAGAGCTCTGTTCCAGGTCTTTCCCAGATACGAGGAGTTCATGCATCGCTTGGCATTAGCCATTGACCCTCTGCTGGATGCGGCCCCCGTGGACATGGCGGCCTTCCAGCGTGGCTCTCTGCTGCAAAGGATCAAGTCGCTGTCCACCCTCAAGCCCCTGCTGAAAGCAGGTAAGTCCAAGTGCGGGCACCGGGGCATGATGAGTGACCTTCAAGGAGGTGAGCACATTGTCTCAATGCCTAGACACAAGCCTGAACCTCCATGGCAACCTGCCACCTGGGATCAGTTAACATGCTGCAATCAATTACGGGCAGCCTGGAGCACTTTGCTGAGAGCATCTTAGGCTGATGCGCTTTAAAATAGAGCTTGAGACCAAGGCTTGTGCATGGGTAGTTCATTGGAAGGGTGACCCCAAGGCACAAAAATAGGAGAAAGTGGGGGTGAGAGTGGACAGAGAAAGAGTCAATACCAGAGTGTGTGATCACACTAGCCACACTGTGGGTGACAAGATGCTGGACCTGTGTGGGCCCTCTGGGAAACCTTATGAAATGCATTTGAGGAACCTTCTCGGGAGATGGAAAGGGAAATATTTATTCCTTGGGTTCTAGCTAGCTCCCATTGGTCAAGGGTTGCCTCACAGGGCATTGACTCCCACACTTCTGGGCTGTGCATCTGTGGGTGCCAGGTAGGTTCCCATGAGTGCCCTAGGGAAGAAGTAGAGAGGCTTACTTTTCAGGACTGAAGTGAGATGCTGTGGAGGTGCCTTTGTGAAGCTGATCAAAGCCTGCAAGGAGTTCGGCATCATGGCCGTAGCTAGAATAAGATATAGGGGCCAAGAGATTTGAAGTGCTGCTCCCATACAGGAAGAATGCTAGATTTGGGCTCAGCAAGGAGAAGTTCTGTGATCAGTTAGTAATGTCTGTCATGAGTATGAGAAGGGAAGGCACATCAAGTGTGCTATTATTTTCTACCCTCCTTGAGGATATACAGACCAGTTTAGCCTCTATATCCTAGAAAAAACAAACAAACAAACAAATCGCTTGTTTCCCATACGTCTTCGTGGCTCAGCTGATCTGGTCTGGTCTCAGGCATGTGTTTGTGTCTGCAGCAGCTCAGTGGAGGCAGCTCTGCTGCAGGTACCTCCCGTCCTCCTTGTAGAAGCACATGCTGATCTGGGCGTGGACTTTTCACATCAGTGGCACAAGCACAGAGGGCATGCCCCAATGTACAGGCCTGTTTCAGGTCTGGCTTTGTGTCACATCTGCAAACATTCCACTGGCTGGCCAAGTCACATGGATGAGCCCAGAGCCAAGGAGCCGGGCAGGTTAACCAAGCTGTGGTGGGTTGGGAGGCACTGCAGACTTATACATTGCAAAGAGTGTGGAGCCAGTGGAATCTATTACAAATGCAAAAAGTAGACACTGCCTCTCAGATAACCAGTCCAGGGAGCTTTGTGTGAAAAACAGGCAAAAAACATTTATTGAGCAACTACTACGTGCCAGACACTAAGGTAGGCCTGGGTGCTATAAGTCTAGAGACCGTGATTTCTATCCTGAAGGTCTTAAAGCCTAGTTACTCTGAAATGGTCTGAATCAGGGTTGTAGGAATGGATCAGCCAGGCCATCTACCTCCCAGGATATGGGCCTTCCGGAGTTCAAAATAAGGGAATAAGGTAGAAGTTTAAAATTTTCAAAACATAATGCTAACTGATTAAACATATTAAATGCCTATGAACTTGCAAATGCTTTACCTAGCTCATTTAATGCTCACTGTAGCCCTTGGGGTGTAAAATAGGATTCCCATGTTACAGGTAAAGAATCAGGTTCAGAGATGTTAAAAATGTGTCCCAGGCGCTGCTAGTGAGAGGTGTGGCCGGGACTCAGGCTGGGTCTGTCTCTGCATTGGCTGTGCTATACCATCTCCCCGCAGGAAGTCTCGGCCTCCTCCAATCTTTTATCCCACAGGCCAGGTCAGAGGGTTTCCCTGTCACCTGTTTCAACTTCTGTTTTGTGGATCTTCTGTTATAGGCCGCATCCTGGGAGCCCAGCTTCCCCAATATTATGAGGTCCTCACAGCTCCCATTACCAAGGTGAGCGGTTCCCCAGCGTCAGGCCCAACCAGGGAGCAAGGGGACCCTCCTCCCGTCGAGGCCCCTAAGCCCTTCTCTCTGCTGTTGTGCTGTCCAGGTGCTGGATCAGTGGTTTGAGTCTGAGCCTCTAAAAGCCACTCTGGCCACAGATGCTGTGATTGGAGCCATGACAAGTCCCCGCACTCCGGGGAGTGGGTGAGTGAGGGGGGTGAGGCGGGACACAGGAATGGGGCATGTTCCCCAACAGGAGTGAGGACAACAGTGGCAGTGGCCGCAGCAACAGCTGCCACTTAACAGAGCTCACCCAGTGAGCCAGGAACCGAGCCAGGCACGTCACACACGATCCATTTAACCCTCAGAGCAATGTCTGAGAACTGCGGTTCAGAGAAGGGAGTGTCTTGCCCAAAGCCACTCAAGTGGCCAGGCTGATTTTCAGCTCGAGATGTCTGACTCCCCAAAATCTTCCTTCTTAGTGGCCGTGCCCTACTGCTTCACTAAGAAAAGCCTCTCTCCCACCTCCCACTTGGTATCTCAACAATATCTTCTTTTCTCTCCTCTTCCCTTCCCTCTTCCACCTCTCCACTCCCGCAAACACCCATTCTCCCTTGCCTGCCGCCGGTCCTTTCCCTGGGCTCCGGGACACTCACACAGGCACCTCAGGATGGGCAGTGAGCTGCCTTTCTCTTGCTGAGTGTGGGTGTGCGCTGACAGCCCAGTCCGAGAGGTGGCAGTCAGACACAGCGAAGCCTGCGGTGTGGTCTGACTTAATGAGCCCCCACAGAAGCAGGAATGGAGGGGGGTGTGTGTGTGTGTGTGTGTGTGTGTGTGTGTGTGTTGGGATGGAGAATGCCACCAAGGGTTGGGCCGTTTCCAGTGCACCAGAAGATACAGCTAGAAGCTAGAAGCTGTCGACGTGGCTTTTCTCTCAAGGGATGAGCACACCCTCGGAAGTGGTTTTTCAACACATATTAAGCCGGCCCCAAATTCCCCCAGGACCATAGAGACGGGGGCTTGGCAGCAGTTGCTACACGTTGGCCAAGCTGTGATCTACCAGCCAATCTGGATCTTCCAGCTGGGGCCTCTGCTCTTTTCTCTTGGGATCTCTGGGAGGCTTAGCCAGTGCTCAGTTTGTGAAATATGCCTTTAAGTAATTTGTTCCTTCATTAATTCTTCCAACAAATAGGGATGAGCGCTCGCTAGGTGCTGGGGATACGGTAGTGAGTGGAGCAGACGTCCTGATGGGTGAGAGACACAGAGCGAGTGATGATGATGAAGTGGTGTGAGTGTGATGCTAGGAGGAGCAGCCGGGACACAGCCTGGCCTAGGGTCAGAGAAGCCTCCACATGGAAGAGGTGTTTGATCTGAGACCCACAGGACAAAGAGGAGTTAGCGAAACACACGATGAGGGAGGAAGGGGCTTCAGGCTGACAGAACAGCAGGGGAAATGCTAGGGTTAGAGAATGTATGATCCACCCAGGAATCTAGAGGTTCTGTTAGTTAGGAGGATGGGGTACAGAGAGGGACAGGATGAGGGGTGAGGCTGGAGCGCCTGCTAGGAGACTGGCCATTCCCTAAGAGCAGCGCCAAGCCAGGGAGGTTTGGAATGGTGATAAGTGAGTGGCAGGAGCACAGCTGGGCTTTAAGATAAGGCTCCAGGATATATGTGGACAAAGACCTGCAGGGGAGAAAGTGTGGGAGAGGGGGTCCAATGAGGGGCACTACTTCAGCAGCATAAGAAAAGGAAGAGAGGCTGAGAGGTGGGGTGGCCTTGCAAGCCCTTTGGAGGCTGAGTTGGCGTTGCTGTGTGGACGTAGATGGGGAAGGATGGTAGCGGTCAAAGACACCTGGTTTCTGTTGGAAACAGAACCTTCTATGGAAAGGTGTCGTTCACTGGAATGGGAAAGATTGAAGAGGAAGCAGCTGGAGAATGGGGAAAAGGTGGTGGGTTTAAGATGCCTACCAAGAAAGCGTCCAAATGGAGATATCTGTGGGTAGTTAGACATAGGAGCTGGAGTTCAGGAGAGTGCTGGAGCTGCAGGTTTGGGCATATGCCTTCTTTTTGGTAATAAAGCTATGCACATAGACACACTTGCTGGGGAGTCAGTGTAGAGAAGGCAAAGGGCTCTTACAAGAACTTGGCTCATTAAAGGCGACTGGGAAAGGGCTGGATGGTGGCAGGGAGGGGCTGAAGATCAAGATGGAAAGGAATAGTTGCACCTACAACTCTGGGCAGATGAGATCCCACCTCCAGGATCTGAGTCAGATGGTCTGTCCTCAGGTATGTGCTGCTGCATCATGTGATGGGGGGCCTGGAGGGGATGCAGGGGGCCTGGGGCTATGTCCAGGGGGGCATGGGTGCCCTCTCTGATGCCATCGCAAGCTCAGCCACCACCCATGGAGCAAGCATCTTCACTGAAAAGGTGAATGGCCCCTCTACCCCACCCCAATTATTGACAAGGATCCCAGGACAGAACCAAGTCTCAGATTTGGAAGGTCCCTTGTTTTACCAATGAACAGAGGGGCTGTGAGGGGGTGGATTGCAGAATTAAGAGACTAAGGTCACGCAGCCTGTTAGTGGCTAACCACCCCTTTTGAATTCCCTGGTCACTGAACCGAGGCTGAGTGTTTCATGGAGAAGCTGCAGAACTTGATGGGGTGGGTTTGGGATGAAGAAGTTGTGAATGCCTAGGACCATCACAGACCATGGGAATCCCACAAGATCTAACCTGGGTTTCCCTTCCTGGGGGTTTCTGGTGGGTGCTAGACAGTGGCGAAGGTGCAGGTGAACAGTGAAGGCTGTGTTCAAGGAGTTGTGCTGGAAGATGGCACAGAAGTGAGAAGCAAGGTGGTGCTGTCCAACACATCACCGCAGATCACCTTCCTGAAGCTGACGCCACAGGTGAGGCTGCGGGCAGGAGGATGGAGCTTAGATGTCTGCCAAAACAGGGGTTGGAATCCGTGGGGATTGAGGGAGCCAGGATTGCATCAGGGTGTGAGATGCAAAAGCCAAGTCTCTGCATTTGGGAAACAGGCAGGTAAGGGCAGGTAGCAAACAGGGAAGGAGCCTCACAGGTGAGGAGAAGGGGCCAGAGAGGTGAAGTGACCAAGATTCTGGCCACTGGCAGAGCCAGAGCTAGAACCCAGGTCTGACTTTCCATCTAGAGTTATTTCCACAACTTTCCTACTTTCCTGATTTCTCCCCTTTCACCAGCTCTAATTCCATTGTATGTGTCAACTATCTGTTGTATTATCCATGATTATTAATTAATTTTTAAAAAGAGCCACAAAACTTCTGGGCACACAAGAAATACTGGCACCCAGAACTGGAGACTTCAGATGATCTTGGTGGATTTCAACTGCTCACGGCTGGCTCATGCATCTGCAGTCAGCGGCAGGTCAGCTTGCCGGCTCTGCTGATCTTGGCGGGACTCCTTCATGTTCCTGGGAGCTAGCCGGTGGTGGCTGGTCCAGGACTGTTTCTGCTGGGATGACCAGGGGAACTCAGCTCTGCCCCGTGTGTCTGTCCTCCCCCAGCACAGTAGTCCAGGCATGTTCTCAGGGTCTGGCAAGGGGCAAAAGCAGGCAAGCTCAAGCATGTATGCAAGCATCATGTGGTTTGATCTCTTTGCATCCTGTTTGCTAGCATTGGCCAAAGCAAGTCTCATGGCCAAGCCCAGAGTGTGAGGGCACTGCAAGATTACACAGAAACGGGTGTGCAAACAGGGAGGGGTGAGCTTTGGGGGGTAGTTTTTGCAATTGACTTTCCCTGTGCCCAAAAGATACGATAAGATGTATATGTGCACGAAGCTCCCAACCATTCTTGGGGGCAATTCTTAGCGGCAAAGCACTACTTTTTCTGAGTGATTCCATTAATAAAATTCAACAAACATCAGTAAAAAGAAACTTGTTAAGGCAATTCTGAGATCATCGAGGCTTCCAAGACCTTACACACCAGTAGTGAAAAGAGACCTGCAAACCACTGTCCCCTTTGCAAGCAGGGAGAGGTGTGGACTATTTCACAGTCAGAACTGCTGGCCAAGCACAGAGGAGGAAGTAGTTAGAGCTGAGTGGGAGGGGATCTAGGAAGGCTTCACAGAGGAGGTGGTTTTGGCTGAGCTTTGAAGGATGAAGAGGATTTCCGGAGGGAGCGACTGAGGGATCTTCCTGAGCAAAGAAAGAAGGCAGCTTCCTTGGGGCCTTGGACGTCTGGGGGCTTTCATGGAGGCTTCTCCTTCCAGGAGTGGCTTCCTGAGGAGTTCCTGGAGAAAATCTCTCAGCTGGACACCCGGTCGCCTGTCACCAAGATCAATGGTAAGAGGCACACCACATTGCAGCACTGTCTCCTTTGACCCATCCGAGTGAGAAACCTCCAGGCGGGGGGCAGCTGAACTCTGTCATCACCTCCATTCCCTGACCTCCAGCCTGTGTCCCCCTGCAGCCTGGTCAGAAGGTGAAACACTTGCTAATACTTTCCTACTCCCGTCTGCCACTCAGGGTAGCAGGGTGCTGGCTGTAGAGGGAGGGCCTTGGGGGGCTAAGACCTGACCCTCCTCTTTGGTCCCTCAGTGGCTGTAGACAGGCTGCCCAGCTTCCTGGCGGCCCCCAATGCTCCCAGGGGTCACCCACTGCCCCATCACCAGTGCTCCATCCACCTGAACTGTGAAGACACCCTCCTCCTCCATCAGGCCTTTGAAGACGCCATGGATGGCCTGCCTTCCCACAGGTAGGGGTCCTGGACAGAACATCCCCTGATGTTCTTCCACATGGGCCTGGGAGGCGGGGCTGTCCATGTCACACACAGCAGGGATCAGGCCTGGCGTTCAACCTTCACAGTGACTTAGGATCTGCCAAAATCCATACTTAACTTCTAAGGACAGGAAGTGCATCCCAGGTGAAAAATCTGAGGACCAGGGCAGGTAAGGGTGAAGAGCAGCTCAGGTTAGCGGAAGGGGCAGGGGGCAGAGCGCTGCCCAGGAAAGTGCTGGGGCTGGGGAAGAAGAGAAAATGTGTTCTGGGAAAGCGAAGGAGGTTCTCTCATTCAGAGCCTGTCAGGGGGCACGCACTCACTGAGTCCCCTGCTCCGTAGCCTTTCTTTTTCTGATAAGCTGCCTTCTTGCAAAACTTCTAAAAGCATTTCCCACCTCCCACTGCAGCTGTATGTCCATCCTTCCAGAAAAGGCAGGGGCGCTATAGGAGCAAGAGCCTTTCCTTCCTGTCCACTGTCCAGCACACACTGTTGAAAACCTACTCAGTGCCGGGCTCTGTACTAGGTACAGGCTGGGAGAACTAGCGGGGCAGGGGCATGAAACCGACACGAAGCTTATGATAAGACAGGTACACAAATATTTACAGCATGTGGTAAAGAAGATGTGCGCCTGGAGAGAAGGGTATAGGGCAAAGTTCATTCATCCATTTATAAATATTCTGGGGTCTCTACTCTGTGCCAGGCTTGGTTCAGTGACTGGGCACAGATCAGCAAGCAAAGCCAACAAGGTCTCAGGTCGCTGACTTTCTATCCATGAGAGGAAGACAATCAACAAGTAAGCACTGATGATGAGCACTGCGGAGAAAAATAGGCAAGGAAGGGGAGGAAAGGCTTCTCTGATAACGCGGCACTTGAGCAGAGACCGGAAGGAAGTGAGGCTACAGATCTTGTGGGTACCTGGGAAAGAACGTCCAGACAGAGGGAAGGTCAGGTGCAAAGGCCCTGGGGCAGGAGCGTGCTGCTGTGTAGGAGGCACAGGGACGAGGCCAGAGTGGCTGGAGAGAGAGCACCTGGGAGTGAAGGGTGTCAGATCGTGCTGGGTCTTGCCAACTGCCCTGGCTCTTACTCCAGGAAAGTTTGTGCAGAGCCTGCCTTATACTTTAGAAAGACCAACCTGGACACGGTGTGGAGAAAACGTTAAGGCATCTGTTGCAATGGGTTACTGTTGCAGAATCCAAGTTAGAGTGGACAGTGGCTTGGACAAGGGTGGGGCAGTGGAAGTGATGAGAAGGGACGGAAGACTGGGTATATTTTGAAGGTGAAGCCAACAGGACTTGCTGTTGGACAGGGAGTGGGATGTGGGTAATAAAAAGGAGCGACTGTGAAAAGATGCCTCCATTTACCGAAGAGAGGAAGAGGCGGCGGGGGTGGAGCAGGTTTTAGAGGCTAATCAGGCATTGGGGTTTGAACGGGGGACGTTTGAGATCCCTGGTGGACATCCAAGTTCAGCAAAAACATTGCAGCTGAGGGACGCAGGGAGAAGGGGCGTTTCCCGTGGCCTTGAAGGAGACTCATATTTGGAGATCAGAGGGAGAATGTGCTCCAGGTAGAAAAGGTGTGGCAGGCAAAGGTGGTGGGGTGGGAAGCAGGTCACAGCTCTGCTGGGGCTCGGGGCAGCCCTAGCAACTCTGTCTTCCATTGGTCTGCTCTGGAAAAGGCAGTCAGGCCGCTAAAGCCTGGCTGAAATCTGGCTGCCTGGGCGCCTGCTGTCTTAGGCCTGGCCTCTTTCCACACTCCCACTGTCTGTGTGGACCTTGGAGACATTTGCGTTTGGGAGCTGTGGTTAGAGCACAGCGTGTGATGAAGGCAGGCAAGGAGAGGCCATGCATTCGGGGGTCTGGGCCAGGCCAGCTCCTCACGGGTGCTCTGGATCACACTGGAGGCCACTGTGGACCTGTACTGTGGACAACCACTGTGGCTGTACAGCGACAGTCGCCCAGGATTGGTGTCATCTCAGGGTCTCCACTGTGTCCCAAGTCATCTCAGAGGCCCTTGGCACCACACTGCTGCTCTTAGACCTGCCGTCTCTCCTCCCTACCCGCACAGGCCTATGATTGAGCTCTGCATCCCTTCTGCGCTGGACCCCACCCTGGCTCCCTCCGGCTGCCACGTAGTCTCTCTCTTCACTCAGTACACGCCCTACACACTGGCTGGAGGCAAGGCCTGGGACGAGCAGGAGAGAGACGCTTACGCAGACAGAGGTAAAGAGAGCTGCATGTTCTGCCTCCAGAGCCACAGCCGGGCTTGCGACCTGACTGGGCCTGCTCCTCCTCCCTGCCCCATTCAGGATTGACAGCTGCGTTTGACGTCCCAAAGGGAGGAAATAGTCGAGGGAACCTCAAGTCAGCATAGTGAATGACTGCTGGAGTCAGGAACTGGGCTAAGAAAGCCAAGAAAACACAGTTCCTGCCCTCCAGTTGCTCGCAGCCTAGCAAGGGATGGAGGAGACAAATTAAGAAATCTGTCATTACAGCACAGCTGACTGCATGAACCAAAGGAGAAGCATGAGCCAGAGGGACAAGGAAGGCTTTCAAAGGAAGGGACGGTCAAGCTGGGTTTCCAAGGATGACTAGGAGCTGGCCAGGCAGCAAAGGGCATTCCAAGCAAGAGAAACAGCTTGAGCAGGCCGGGCATGGGGGCTCATGCCTATAATTCCAGCACTTCAGGAGGCCGAGGCAGGTGGATCACCTGAGGTCAAGAGTTCGAGACAGGCCTGACCAACATGGTGAAACTCCGTCACTACGAAAAACACAAAAAAAACTAGCCGGGGGTGGTGGCACATGCCTGTAATCTCAGCTGCCCCGGAGGCTGAGGCAGGAGAATTGTTTGAACCTGGAGGCGGAGGTTGCAGCGAGCAGAGATCGCACCACTGCACTCCAGCCTAGGTGACAGAGTGAGACTCCGTCTGAAAGAGAGAGAGAGAGGGAGAGAGAGAGAGAGAGAGCGAGCGAGCTTGAGGAAAGTGATGAGGTGAAAAAAGCTGCATATGCAAGAGGAGACAAGCAGCTTTGTGTTTAGGGTTGGGGTAGGGAAGTGGGGAAAATTGGGGACTGGACCGGCCTGCCCATGCATCTTTGGGATGAATTATTCATTTGCTTGTGGGCTGATTTTTGTTTTTCACCTATTGAGGTATAATTTGCATATTATAAAATAAACCCATGTCTGTGTGTAATTTAATGACTGTTAGTAAATTTGCCAAGTTGTATCCCCTTAGCGTCTCCTCTTCTTCCTAACACCATCTCATTTCTCTGTTTTTGGCACCCCAGTGTTTGATTGCATCGAGGTCTATGCCCCTGGCTTCAAAGACTCTGTGGTTGGCAGAGACATCCTGACACCACCAGATTTGGAGAGAATCTTCGGGCTTCCTGGAGGGGTGCGTATAAGCCTAGGGGGTCTCTCACCATAGCATTCCCTCTGCACCCTCACTTCCTGGCTGTGACCTCTCTGCTTTATCTTGTCCCTCCATACTCAGCTTTCATCAGGAAGGGAGCACAGGGGCAGGGACCCTGGCTGAGAGAGGGCAGAGAAGTGGTCAGATTCAGGGAATGGGGGATCCCTAGTAGGGACTCAGAAACGCAGTCAGGACAGCCCCCACTGAGAAGGTCACCAGGATTGTGGCCCTCTGCCTTGACAACCATGCTGGCTCTGCCATCTGACTTTCTTCAGAGAGAGCACCCCCTTCTCAAGGCAGCAGCACATCCTCAGACTTCAGTTTATCAAAAACTAGAGATTGGAGACAGGGAGACCAGTTAGGAGGCCAGGCTCAATCGCCTCATTGCAGCTACTGAGCACTTGCAAGGCCAGAGACCAGCCTAGGGAACATAGTGAGACCCCATGTCTACAAAAACAAAAAACCAAAAACATCGCCAGGGGTGGTGGTGTGTACCTGTGGTCCCAGCTACCCAGGAAGCTGAAGCAGGAGGATCGCTTGAGCCCGGGAGTTCAAGACTACAGTGAGCTGTGATGTGCCATTACACTTCAGCCTGGGTAACAGAATGAGACCCTATCTCTAAAAAGAAAATTTAAAAAAAAAAGCAAAAGAAAAATCTGAGGCCAAAGTGAGATGTGCTGCAAGTGTAGAATGCACACAGTATAGAAAAAAATATGAAATATCTCATCAATAATTTATATATTGATTACATGTTGAAATTATAATATTTTGGGTATATTATATGTATATAGCTAATAAATATATATAGATATATATAGCTAAATAAAATATGTTATTGACATTAAATTCATCAACTTGTCCTTCCTTCCTTCCTTCCTTCCTTCCTTCCTTCCTTCCTTCCTCCCTTCTTTACTTCCTCCCTCCCTCCTTCCCTTCCTCCTTCCCTCCTTCCCTCCTTCCCTCCCTCCCTCTCTTCCTCCCTTTCTTCCTTCTAGAGATAGGGTCTTGTTCTATCACCCAGGCTGGAGTACAGTAGTGCAATCACAGCTCACTGCAGCCTCGACCTCTGGGGCTCAAGCCATCCATCCTTCCACCTCAGCCTCCTGAGTAGATAGGACCACAGGCATGCACCACCATACCAGGCTAATTTTTTTAAATTGTAGAGATGGAGTCTCCCTGTGTTGCCTAGGCTGGTCTCAAACTCTGGGGCTCAAGTGATCCTCCCACCTTGGCCTCCCAAAGTGCTGGGATTACAGGCATGAGCCACAACAGGCTCTGCTTTTACTTTTTAAATGTAGTTACTAATAAATCAAAAACTGCATATTAGCTCCCATTACATGCTCACTGAACAGCACTGGTCCGGGTAGCGGAAAGAAGGCCAGGCAGCAGGAAGGAAGGGAATGGCTGGGTAGAGCAGGCATGGGGCGGGCAGACTTGAGAAGCCTTGGTGACAGTGTGCACATGGGGGTCAGGGTGGAGGTGATGTGAAGGGTAGGTGCAGAGGCCAGCGGGAGGAAGGTGGTGTCATTCACTGACGCAGGAGGATGGGGAGGAGCAGACTTGAGGGAAGAGGATGACCTCAGTTTGGGGCAAGGTGAGGAGGGCAGTGGGGGGACACTCCTGTGGTGACGCCCAGCAGACGTCGGGCTTCTTGTCCAGACCTGTCTCCTGAGTCTGACCTTCGCTTGTCCCATGCTGCCTCCCTTCTCAGCCTGGGGCTGGTCTCACCCAAGCCAGGGGGACAGAACCGTGCTCGGCGTCGTTGCCCCTTGTCTGCCATTCACAGTGATCCTGCTGGAACCTGGACGCCGGGGTCCGGGCTCAGGTGGATGCCTTGGCCACAGAAGGAAGTTCTCGCAGAGACACATACCAGCAGCCACAATAAATCGGACGATTCTGTTTTTCCAGCAGAGCGAGAGGGATGCAGAGTACATAGCAAAACCCTCTTTTCTTTCCTGTTCAGTTCCTGTTCCCCACCCTGCTTTCTTCCTCAAAAGGCCTCTGGGAAACTTCACTCCCAGCCCCAGGGCATGTGCCCGTTCCATCTCATCTCCTTCCCTTTCTGCATTTTAAGAACCCAAGAAAATATCCCGGAAGGAGAAGAACTTTTGCTGGAGAACAGGGGAGGGGAAGAAACCCCGCCAGGACAGGAAAGGCTGTAACGCTCCCGTGCTAATGACTGTGGCCCTGCCTCTGCAGAACATATTCCACTGTGCCATGTCCCTGGACCAGCTCTACTTTGCCCGCCCTGTGCCCCTGCATTCTGGCTACCGCTGCCCTCTCCAGGGCCTGTATCTCTGTGGAAGTGGGGCTCATCCTGGTGAGTGACCTGGAGTCCCACTACCCTGTGGGGACTGGGAGGGCTCACTGGAGGCCAGAGACTTGGAGAAGGAGGAAGAAGATAAACAATGAAGGCGGCAGAGAGGGAGGGGAGCAGGGAACTCCCACCATAAGAAGCTGTCTTGTGTTCAGAATTCTCCATGCACAGGTGAGCACCCAGCCGCTGCCTCCACCAGGCTGACCACAGCCCACAGTTGAGCTCACACCTCCCCTTCAGGAGGCCTGGGGATGCGTCCTGGTGGAGGCATCTCACCACATTCCAATGCGGGCTTGTGAGAGACCCATGTCCCTAAATTCCCCATCCATATATATATTTAGATGGGGTTTCACTCTATTGCCCAGGCTGGAGTGCAGTGGTATGATCACAGCTCACTGCAGCCTCAACCTCCTGGGCTCAAGTGATCCTCCTGCCTCGGCCTCTGGCGTAGCTGGGACTACAGGTGTGTGCCACCATGCCTGGCTAATTTTTTATTCTTTTGTAAAGATGGGTTTTGTTACGTTGCCCAGGCTGGTCTCGAACTCCCGAGCTGAAGTGATCCTCCCCGCTTAGCTTCCCAAAGTGCTGGGATTAGAGGCCTCCATCCATATTTTTGACCAGAAAGGATGGATAAAGTTAACTTCTTCAACTTTACAATTCTTTCTTGTGCGCATTCCAAGCCTAAGGAGCTGGCTGAGGCTGTCATTTGCTATGCACACCTTCTCTGAGCTGTGTGGACTTGGTCCCCCTGGAAAGAGTCTGTGCTTCCACATCTCCCCCCTCCCCCCAGCCCCTTATTCTGAAATTTTAACTTTGCTTACTAAGCATCTGCCCATCCAGCAGGTCCACCCTCAGCCATTGAGGCTGTGGGCTGTGGACCTGGCCCCTTCCCAGACCTTTGGTGCAGGAAGCCTGGAGGGAGCCAGGATCTATTGAATGTCTGTCCTAGGCGATTCCAGTGCCCACACCCCCGCACCCCTCTAAGCAGCCCCACTCTGCTTTGTTGCTGGATCTCAGTAAGCCCCGCCCCCTCCCCCACCCTGGCGGGTTTTTGAGCGGAGCTTTGGTTCATAGGAGATTCCCTTCCAGGAGGAGGTGTGATGGGAGCTGCTGGGCGAAATGCAGCGCATGCGGCCTTTAGGGATCTCAAGAGCAAGTGACCCCGAATCGGCTCTGACCCAGGAAGAAGACTTCACCCCTCAATTCCAAGCGCTCCATTGGGTCAGCTTCCCAGGAAACTCAGCTTCGGGTTAGTACTTAAGGCCACCAAGTCCTCAATGCTCAAGCTATTATTTTAGAAAAAATGTACGAGTTACATTTAGTGCAAGTTAACCTTATGCCCGTGCCTCCATACATGGACTGGTTCTGTTTTATTAAAACTAATATTTCATACAGATTACTTGCTCGTGTTTTTTCTCTGTGTTAGTTGGTGGGATAGACTTGTCTGGTGTACTCATAATTCTTACATCAGCTAAGAAGCAGTCCATTTAAAGGCCAGGCATGGTGACTCGTGCCTGTAATCCCAGCACTTCAGGAAGTTGAGGCAGGCAAATCACTTTGAGATCAGAAATTCAAGACCAGCCTGGCCAACATGGTGAAACCTCATCTCTACTAAAAATACAAAAATTAGCCAGGCGTGGTGGCAGGTGCCTGTAATCCCAGCTACCTGGAAGGCTGAGGCAAGAGAATCACTTGAACCCAGGAGGTAGAGGTTGCAATGAGCCGAGATTGCACCACTGCACTCCAGCCTGGGCGACAGAGACTCCATCTCAAAACAAAAACAAAACAAAAAACAAAAACAAAACAAAAAGAACAGTCCATCTAACCAGTGGAAGAGTCTGAGCTAAGCATCCCCCTGTCCTTGGCTGGGACTCCCACCACCACCAACTGGAGGACTGCCCAGGTGGAGCCCAGTCGACTGCTGTCACATTCCTGGCAAACGATAAGAATGGACCCGATTTCCCCATGATCCATAGAGTCACCCACAGGGGCCATGGGCCTGAACAAAGCTTGGCATCTCAAGCCACAGAATCTTCCAGTCAGGCAAAAAGCAGTCAACGGTGACTGCAAGGTGGATTCCACTGAGGTTGTCTGGGAGCCCACTCTTCCTGATTCCAGAGCATTCAGCCTTCTGCCTCCCATGAGCTAAGTCTGTTGTGTCACCAACACCTTTCAATATAAACCTCTATAATTCTAAAGTGAGTTGAATTGTCACTCTTGTCCAGGAAAATCCATCCAAAGTTCCCGTGGTAATGCAGCCCTCCCAGCCAGCTTCTCCAGTTCCGGCAGCCAAGGCCACGGTCCAAGCCGTCCCATCTGCAGATGAGGCAGGATCTTCCCTGGGAAAGCTTCCCTTCCTCCGTTTCCTGGGCAAATTTATACAGATTCAAATAGATCCACCTCATTACTTAATGTTGGTAAACTCAGATTTCTCAGCCGTAAAAGAGTTGTTTTAAAGCTCACATCAGACAACAGGTCATGTTTCCCTCCAGGATCTGGCACACGATAAGCATCCGGTACACGGTGGAGCTGCTGCTGCGGTTTTTGTTGGTGAAGATATTTTTGTCATTTTTGTATTCTGCAGAAGGTGGTTTTCTCTATATACTTTTTAACCTGGCACCCAGAATTGAAACTAGCCCCCTAGAAGCATTGTGCAGGACAGTGCAGAACCATGTTTGGGTCCCCAAGCTTTTTCCAAAGTAGCCAAGCCGCCTCCCTCATTCAGCATCAGTACCATCAACTTCTTGAGCTTGTTGAAAATTTGTTGGCCTGGCATGGTGGCTCACGCCTGTAATCCCAGCACTTTGGGAGGCCGAGGCAGGCAGATCACGGGGTCAGGAGATCGAGACCATCCTGGCTAACACAGTGAAACCCCGTCTCTACTAAAAATACAAAAAATTAGCCCGGTGTGGTGGCAGGCGCCTGTAGTCCCAGCTACTTGGGAGGCTGAGGCAGGAGAATGGCATGAACCCGGGACGGGGAGGTTGCAGTGAGCCGAGATCGCGCCACTGCACTCCAGCCTGGGCAACAAAGCGAGACTCTGTCTCAAAAAAAAAAAAAAGAAAAGAAAATTTGTTTTTTGGTCAATATTGCTGGTTTTCTGGAAGGAAAGAAGGAA